TAATAATAATAATAATAATGATTAGTAATAATACTGAACGCAATAAACAAAACTATATACAAAATTTAAACAATTTAAATGGACGAAAATTCGGCCCGTTGCGTCGTTAGCTGCTCTCCTTCTCCTCCTTGTCCCATCTTCCAAGCCCTATTCTACCTGCTGTCCCTGACCCAAAATCTGGGTCATAGCTATTACACATGTGGTTAAGAAAACCACAAGTCCGTAGATTGTACTGGATAGCCGAAATACTTTTTGTGCACCCCTGATAAAAGATGCCAAGGATAGCTAGGGCCAGATTTCTGATTCAGGAGTTTGCAAAGTATACCGTGCTGCACTAACGAAGTAACAAAAGCACGGAAATTATACGGGTATTCTAAGGAAACCTTAACAGGTGTGTGCTCGCACTGAACATACTACCTCCTCGTATCTTCGAAAACAAGATTGACATCTGCTTCATCAGCGAACACCACCCAAACCTTCGAAGTAGAACTTAATTCACGGATCAAACCGATACAGCAGCAATTTGGATTGTAAGCCCACACAAAATAACTGCCATCAACAATGGATGTGGAGCAGGATTTGTCTGCATAAAAACTTCAAAGACCAATCACATGAGCGTCTCTTTCACCTAATGAAAGGATGAGCGTATTTCGCCAAAAGCTTGCTAACATTGAAAACTCTATCAGTGGATTAAGTGAAGTCATTGTAGCTGGCGACTTCAACACAACGCCAATTCTGCTGAATGGGGAGTGATTTCTCTGACACCAGAGGAAATGAAGTCGCAGACTTTGCTGCTAGACTCGACCTCACAGTACTGGACACCGAAAACACCTCAACCTTTAGAAGATAGGGTATCACGAGTATATCCTCCATAGATATCGAGTGAGATCACTGGGTGCCCCAAAAATTGCTAGCAAGATCAAGAATTGGATCGTCTGTGAAGAGTACAGTGGTAGCGACCACCAACACATCACATTCAGTGCTGAAGAGGCTCCCATCCCAACAATGCAACATGGCCCTTGAGAACGAAGGTGAAATGCCAGAAAGCTTGACCCAGAAGCTCTCCGAACGTCCCTTTCACGAAGCTGGTCAACCCCTAAACTCCATCCGACTCCCAACACCAAAAGCGAGACGAAAAGAATGGTGTTGACAACGATGAAGGCCATCATTACCTCTTGTGATAAATCTATGCCGCAGTTGAAAAATCGAGGCCTGCACAGGCCGGCATACTGGTGGACACCTGAGATCGCGAAACTCCGGAAAAGATGTCACAAATTTCCCCGTCGAAAAAAGATCCGCAAAACACACCGCTGCGTAAATACATACACAAACGAGTATAAGCAAGCAAAAAATAATTTAAGCTGGGCTATCAAAGCAAGCAAAGTAACGCTGTGGAAAGAAATCTGCAATGACCTCGAGAAGGATAACTGAGACAAAGCCGACCAAATCGTTGTCAAGAAGCATGATAAAGCCATACCAGAAGCACACGGAGAGAATTTTATATTAACCCTAACAATACTTGTTTTGTAGATTTTGCTATCTTAGATGGTTATTAATGTTACATAAGTTAGAATGATAAATATAACAATTTAAATGATAATCAGTACAATGCTAAAATAATAATTCCTAAAATAGAGCGATAGTACCATTTACTATCGAGATGGTTACATTTACAATCACAACATGATCAATAATACAATAATAATAATCTATATTATTAAGAGAATAAGCAGAATTTTGTAACCGGGGTATTTATATAATAAAATGTGTTTCTTTATGGTTAAATTTGGTATCATTCGAAAAGTCTTGACCTGGAGTTATTCCATTTTATGGTTTCATATCATTCTTACTAATGGTCAATATATGATGATAAGTATTTAGGCTGCATTCGAAAATTCTCTATCTTTAGATACATAATTAAGAAATGACCTTGTATCTTGTGAACTATTGATATTTTTAAAGATGTAAGCTCACCCCGACATTACACTCATCGAGACCTTTCATTTGAGTATCCACATCAATTTTTTATATATTCATCTATATTATATATATCTATATGTCGTAGTCTTTTCGCAAAATCCGTTATTTCGTGAAATACCTAGGCACTTCCAGAAGCGTCGGCGTTTTGTGAAAAATATTAAAATTGCATTATCAGCCAAGATATTTCATGAAATGACCACTTTGAGCCGGCATCTCGTGTTTCAAGCCAAGATACATAATCACACACATAAAACAGTCGGGCTTTTCATTTAATACCTATTATAGATCTTGGCACGTTAAATAAAAAAAAATTAATAACATTAAAAAAAAAGGAAGTAATAAAAGCAAATACAGATTCATTTGTAAAAAAATATAACGAATATTATGGAAAACAAGATAACAAACGACCGTATACTTCAGTTTACTTAGAAAAAGTAAATATTATGGGTAAAACTAAGAACTTCTCGATTTTTAAAAATTTCCAATTTTCTTAGCGGGAAGTTAAAAATTAATGATATTAAAAAATAGAATAACTCGAAGAGCTCAAAATAACACACAAATTGTATTTATGAGCTCGAATAGCTTAAAAACGTCATAAGTGCAATTTCAACCGTTTAGGTATAGAATTGGCGGGAAGTTGCAGGGATGGTCTTCAGGGTCAACCGTTTTCCTAATTTTTTTTAATGTTATTAATTTTTAACCTCCCGCTAAGAAAATTGAAAATTTTCAAAAATTGGGTTATTGTTAATGGGAAGTTATTGTTTTTACCCAGTTTTTCGAAAATCAAGTTTTCATCAGATCTCGACGTTTTGAGGTCCTAGGAAGCTTCCCTGACTGTTCCTGCGATGGTGTCCGAGCGGCTGTATGTATGTGTGTGTGTGTGTGTTTTTTTTTTTTATTTTTCCCTTTAAGGGGGGGAATCCTTTTTACGGATTCTAGGCATAGATGTTTAGCCTGGATATGTGGCGGCTCGACGCAGCGTCATACTAAAACTTGACGCTGACGCCCCTACACGGAAAGAACAACTCACTGGGTGGTATTCATAGTAAAAATCTAGGCGTAGTTGTTTGGCCTGGATATGTGGCGACTCGACGCAGCGTCATACTAAAACTCGACGCTAGCGCCCCTACCCACTAAACCCTAAACCCCTTTCCTCTTTCCTCTAATCCCTCATGGAAACCGCCGTTAGGCATTACTTCGTGGGGGGAGGACATAGCGACTGCTCTTCCTTCTGATAACTAAGGTATTATTTTACCTTTCTTCTAGTTGTTGTCATTTGCTCTTTTTCTTTCGATGGAACGCAAGTCTATAAGGACTTCTGTTGCAAACGTGTTTGCGGTGTTCCAAGCAGTTTCTGATGACAGCATTGCTTCTACTATTCCTCGGCACTTAGTGTTGTTGTCCTCTTTCGTTGGTAAAGATTCCGTCTTTCCTCAGCTAGTACTCTGAGCGGCAAAGTTCCGAAAGTGACACACACTGCCTACTTCTGATATCGTGCGAAATGCACTGGCTAGTCTTACAGCGCTCAGTCGATATACTGGTCCAGCTTTTCTCCATGATTCTTGTAACTTTAGCGCGTCTGCCCAAATGGATATTCCATATGTGAGCACCGATGTGACAACTGATGATAGTAGTAGTCTCCTGCTCTGCTTTGGGCCTCCGACGTTCGGCATCAGTCGTGCGAGACTAGCCCTCACTACTGACGCTTTGGCACTAACGTGTTCCACTTGCTGTTTAAAGTTGAGACGGGCATCAAGCATCACTCCCAACTATCGGATATAAGGTTGTGATGTGATTTCTTGTTCGCCGACTTTCAGCTTGATGGTCTCTAACACTTTTCTGCTGGATATAAACACTGCCTCAGTTTTGTGTGTAGCCAGATGCAGGTTTACCGTATTCATCCACCGATGGACTCGCTCGAAGGTGATGTCGAACATGTTGTTAATCTCGTCAAGGTGTTCAGCGACGATTACTATGGCTACGTCGTCTGCATACGCTACGAGTTTTACACTTCTTGGCAATTTCAATCTCAATAGGCCATCGTACATGATATTCTACAGCAGTGGACCAAGTACAGAGCCCTGGGGTACACCTCCGGTAATATCGTACTCTTTTTGACCATTTTTTGTGTCGTATTTAAGAACTCTATCGGTGAAATAGCTGGCCACTATTCTACACAGGTATTCTGGAACGTTTTTCTCTCGAAGAGCTTGCATGATGCAGTTCCAGTTGGCGGAATTGAAGGCGTTATTAATGTCTGATGCCGCCACCAGGCAATACTTCTTTGTGCCACCCTTCCATCTGGTTCCTGCGATCGCTTAAAGAAGCGATGAGGCCTAACGAACCGTGCTAACAATCAGATTGATCGCGTCCAGGGTTGATTGTCCGTTCCGGAATCCATACTGGTTGTCTGTCAGGAGTGGGTCGAAAACTGCATCTATTCGTTGATGAATTATGCGCTCAAATATCTTACCCACCGTATCTAGCATGCAAAGTGGTCGGTAAGATGACGGTTCTTCTAGTGGTTTCTTCCCTTTAGGTAACAGTACCAATCGTTGCTGTTTCCACTTACGAGGAAAAGTCCCCTCCTTGAGGCATGCATTATAAGCGTCTAGGAATAATGTTGGAGCTGCCTTTATGATGGTTTTCAAGGCTAAATTAGAGATTCTGTCCAATCACGGCGCTTTATTATTCCCTACACGGTTACAAGCCTCCAGCAGTTCTTCTTCAGTCACAGGTGGGATGTCGTCCAATTTGCCTGGCGCCAACTGGTAATCGAAGTTGTGTTGCTGTGGAAACAGTGCAGTGAGGATTTTCTTGTTGAAGAAGTTCGGGACACGTAGGTGATGGCATTTGTTGTTATTTCAAGTGGGTCATAACCACCTTATAAGGCCTACCCCACACGTCTTTATCCACCTCATATATAAGGTCTTTCCAGCATCTTCTTTTGCTCTCTTTGATGGCTTTATTCAGTTCACGGCGCGCCTTTTTGTACTCTGCGATCAGCTCCACTGAGTTGGGCCATTGATAGCCGCGCTAAGAGATTCTTCTTTTCTTATGACACTCTTTACGGAGGACGCTGATGTGGTCGTTCCACCAATGCACCGAAGGTCTCGAATTTATGCCACGTTTACGAGGCATACTGGCATCACAAGCATCTGTTACTCTCCTCATCAGGTCCTTAGTCTGTTCTTCTGCATATCCAGTGTTGATCGGATCGCCATCGAGGGCTATGAGTAATGCTTCTGGGTCAAAAGATTTTACCTTCCAACCAACGATGTTAGTCTGCTTGACTGGTTTCTTGGGGTTCTGGTCGCTTGATATTTCCCAGAATATCGCATGATGGTCGCTGGCAGTGTAGCTGTCCAACATTTTCCAGTTGCAGTCGCCTCTAGCAAGGCTATTACTGACAAAAGTGTGACGTCTGCTAAAATCTAAAATTTTTGTTTTTCTTCTAAATATATGTAACTTTTTATTTTTAATTTACAATTTATCATACCCTTAAAGTCTGTAGAAGAGTAATCTGGCCTAACTTTCCAAAGATTTAATGACACCCTTTCTAATTTTCGGATTTCTATTTTTTTTGTCAATACCTTTCAATTTTTCAATGACTTTTACCTATTTTTGTATTCATAATACAGTGAAAGTATCATCTAAATTTCCTATTCCAAATTGAAGACTCAAGGTAAATTTCGAAACTACTCATGAAAGTACCTTGATGTCCAAGAATTAGAAAATGCGATGACGCACGGACAATTGCCCTTCACTACCTTTCATTTTTTTTTTGAATAATTTACCTACGAAGCCCATACAATCACTGATGCTGCTAATCATATAAATACCGCCCGAAAATCATTTTCTGGCAGTGCGATTTCGACCAGGATACCACTGGTTAGCTCCGCGTCGGTCGACTCCGGGCATCAAATTCTTCGGAAGCACAAAGTACTCCGTGATACACGAGATAGTGCCTTGCTCGTGGTTAGGTTACATTCAGTAGCACTAACACGGTAAATTCATTCGATATTTGCCATAGTTATATTCCGTTTTCTTCTTTTTATTATTTTCCGCCGTTGAGCGTCGATTTTTGTTTATTCCACCGTTGAGCGTTGATTTTTCCGCGAGAATCGCGAAGTATATTGTTTCCGCCGTTGAGCGTCGATTAGTGTTAAGTTTTGCGCTTAAAGTCGCGAAGATTAATTCATTATTTGTAATTACTTAATTTCTCCGTGATACACGAGATCCGGTAATTCGTTTGTGAAAATATCTTAGCGTCGATTGAGTTTTTCTAAGTTTTCGCGTAAAATCGCAAAGATACAAATAATTCATTATTAGTAAATACTTAAATTCTCCGTGACACACGAGATACGGTATTTCGATAGTGAAAACTACCCATAGAAGGTGAAAGGGCCAATGAAATTTGAGCCTCTCTACAGACTTCCAGGGTAAGCCCA